AGAGGGAGAGGGAGAGGGAGAGAGGCAGACAAACAGACAGAAGTATGGTTGGGAAAATGAGAATATTTAAGGAAAGTAACATAACACATATTAACAAACTGAAACGGAGACAATGCTAGCTCACACTTCAGTAGAATCTGCCAAGGAGCTAAGCACTCAATATTCCTACCATGCATGAATTCATACATCAGCCCCTAACCTTGAAGTAGAAACTATTATTGATTCTAATTTAAAGGTGCAGGCACACAAACATAGAGTTAAGTAACCTGTGTGAATGTTGGCAGTTTCAAATCTCAACAGCTGTCTGAGGCTAGATGTTTCTACCCACAACACTTCCAACCTCTTGGTAATCCTTTTCATGGATGACTTATCCTGCTGTATTCACTTTCACTTTGTTTTCACTATTTTACCAGAGAAGCAACACAATATTTAATCATCCCTAAAAGTACCAGGAAATAACATCATAGTACAATGAAGACCTGAGCTGACAGTGCTGTGTGTACAATCATGATCACTTCAGTCAAGTTACCTATTCCCTTAGATCTTTGTTTTCTATCCGGAATGCAGTGATAGAAATTGCTGCCTGGGATATTGTAGGAGATGAGATTGCACTACAAATGCAGTGACTGGTAGAATTGTATTAGTTTAAATACTTTTATCATGTTGTGTTTTCAATCCTCTTTCCAGACTCTCTTCTTTATCCTCTGTCTGTCTTCCATCTATCACATATGCATGTTTGAGGTTTGTACGTGTATTTAACTATAGTCATCTGTAATAGCACCACTAAATATATTCTTGAGGCCATAGCTGAAGTGAAATAACATGAAGTTAAATGTTACTGAGGCTGGGGAGATGCCCCAATGGATAAAGCCCTTGTCATGCAAATGTGAGAACTGGAGTTATTCTTAGTGGCCCTTCTGTAATCCCAGAACTCTGAAGGCAGAAATAGGGTCTCCCAAACAAGCTGGCCAACTAGACTGTCCATATTAGTGAGTTCTTGGCCCAGTTGAGAGCCCCTGAATCCATGAATAAGGCAGAGTGTATTTATCAATATACACACAACAGCGCATGTGTACAAAGGAGACTTCTTAAAGTGAATCATGATGATAAACAATTGTACAGAGGAGTTATCTCCCAACAGGAAGAGTGTTCACCATGTTAGCTCATTCTAAAGCATGCTATGTGGTGCTGTGTTTCATCTCGTCACATTTCTTAGCTAGATAGTCATTGTCATTACCTATTGTGTCCATCACTACTAACGGCAATGGCAATTAGACGTGGTCTCACTATCACCTCCAGCTTTAGTTCAGTCCAGCTTATGGTGAGGGCTAAGCATATCTACCCTGTTACT